GGTTAGTATCACAGAAGTTGACTTTTAATTCCTTCAAATGACATTCAGGTGGATAATATTCTCCTTCGAAATAATCCATGTCTTTTGGTAATATTAGTTGTTGTTGTGGGACATTACAATTGATGACTTTCTTTACCATATTATATGTTTCTAAATGAAGAATCTTACCATTTCGAGTTGACTTCAGAATGACAACATAAGTAAACAAATACATGTCATAAAACATTCTTAAAGAAATACTATCAGTAGGTTCAACCATTCGCATTAATCCATTTTCTTGTTTCATAACAATTTCATTCGAGTAATACGGCTCACTAAAATGATTAAGACAAATAGTCAAATGAGGAATGTTGTTATACTGTGTGAGATGTTTCTTTTCTCCCTTTAGTAATATTACAATTTCGCTAGCAATGGTGTTTGGTTCAAAACCATTTAAAATAACATCTAAGTCATCATAACTTATCACAAAAAGAAAGTTCAATTTATCTTCTCGTTTCATCCAGTCTATTAGTCTCATTCCTTTTGGTAAATAACCTTTGACTTTAGTTACTGAAGACATTGAACTAATTTCTGGAAGATAACAAGTAGTTGAATATTCAATTGTTTGTTGAAGGATTTGAATAGGTACATTATCTTGTACTATTTTTCCATTAAGTATAAAACGTTTTGAGGAAAATGAAGGAATTAAGTCAATGAATTGAAGAGTAATTTCATTAAGTTCAATGATGGGGGAATTATGAAATAATTTCATTTTAATTCTAAACTCATCATAAACCTTTGAATCAGTTTGGAAAATATCATAATTAAAGGGTTGATAATGATAACAAGAAGAAAAAAGAAACACCTTTCCACACTTTTTACTAACTAATTGAAAAGACAATAAATCATTAATATTAAATAAATACTGAGATATTTTTTGAATAAACGGAAAGTCTAAACTATATTTCATTTTTAAGAATAAAATCTTATGAGATTGTATTTTTGATGACAAAAAAAAACAAAGAGAAATAACATAATAAT